AACAGGCCTCTAACACAGCTGGCATTGACAAAAAATGGATTACACTGACAAAGTTGGGTCACATTTGCAAGCCGTTTCACATTGGGAAGCTGTAGCTTTTCTAGTTCCTCTGGAGTGAGACCACGAAGGTGTGATTGGCCCCTTCTGCTTGTTTCTCTGGTTTGATACGGTTCCTGACGCGACACCGCAGCCTGGTTTGTATTGACAGCCGAGTCTCTGCCAAACCGCAGTGCGCCAGGGGGCGTGTTCTCCTTATTTGATATCCGAGGCTGGTTCGCGCTGTCTTTGCTATGAATGACACTTTCGCTAAAAGATGGCAAATCCTCATCACCACCTAATGCTGCCCCTTTGCCTGGAGATAATGACGGCGCATTGAACGCTGACTTGGACGGGGAAGACGGTGTAAGTTTCAAGGCATGGTCGAATACGCTGGGAAGATCTCTTGCGCCGGGAGGAAGACGATTCTTGCTTGGGCTCCCCTGAGGGGTGCTGTAGGGGCTTGTGAAACCGCGTTGAATTGGTGTCTGCGGGCGATCGTAGAACTCGTTGCCGGAACGAGTGTGCAGGAGAGGGGGGATGCGTAAGTCCTGCTTTCCAGCAGGAGACGGAGGGATATTAACCGCCATCTCAGGGTTTTAGAGTGTGAATTGATTTGCGCGTGGGCAGTAAATGAGGTTGCTGGTATGTCGAGGTATCTAAATAAGTATGCGATTGAGTGTTATCGGGCCGCCTTGTTGATAGCGGCGTTGGGCTGTGATGTATTTAGTTACCCCGCCAAAAGCTGTCAACAAGCAGGCGCGCTGTGGTCAACCCTGAAGTGCAACACAACGGCGATGTACGCAGAGAGAGGAGAAGAGAATATATTGGTGGTATAGACAGTGGAAAAAGTCGCTTGGGCATATGGAATGGGAGATTGAAGCAACAAGCAACAGCTGGGCAGAAGAATTGTTCTGGGCTCGTTGGTATGGTATGTAAGGGTAGTAAGGGGAGCGGAGTTTAGCGCTGTGATGTTGATTGTCGGCGTTGTTAGCGGTGGCGGGCGATGCTTGCAATGCTCCCGGCGCGCCTAACGCAATCGGGGGCCGTTGCTGCAGCAACGAATCAAAAGGCAACAAACTGGATTTCGTGCAGCAGATTAAGCTTCCCGCGGCTGGCCAATTGGCTTCTGTTGCGAAGGGTTGCGATCTGCAATATGCCAAAAATAAAATAAATAAATAAATAAATAACTTAAATCATCACTCTATGCAAAAAAACTCTGTAATGTGACATCACGTGCACCTCATCAAAAATATGTAGTGGCGTCTCATCGTCCTAGCAATTGCTTCTATCTCACTTCTTACAGATTCTTTATCTCTATTTCTATCTCTTATATAATTAATAGAGTTAGCAGCTCTTGACTATATACAACTATATAGACTGAAGTTTGTGACTACTATTCATAACTTAGCTTAAATACTCTTTCTATTGTGAATACTTCTTCTAGTAGCTATTAGTATATATTACATCAAGCTGTGAATCACTAAATAATTGTCTGTGAGTACTTATTCTTACACTTCTCTACATTTAAAATATCTTAATGCATATGAGCCTCTGTGTGCAAAGATGTTGCAGAGCTAAGCTCAAAACAGAAGACTCTGCAAGATTGATTTTACAGCTTATTATTAATAATAATAGAAGGGATAGAACTAGACTGACCGTGTGACCGTGTCTGGGACCAGGACCAGAATTTTTGATAGTCTCATTGTCAATTCGACAGATCCCATTACACGGTTCTAACATTAGATAGTAGTCCCATACTGTCCCAGTGGGACTTACTGTCTACTCTTGTCACATTTTCCAAATGGGACCATGATTTCCACTTCTCAATTTAAATTATTTTTATTGATTTAAATGGCTTTAAATCTCATTTGAGTGTTACCAAAAAGTGTTACTTTTTAAAAAATTAAAAATAGTCTAAATAAAACCTTAAAATGTCTAAAAATAGTAACTTTATGCCAAGAATGAGACTAAATGGAATCAAATGAGACCACTTTCTCATTTTTTTCAAGTCATGATTCCATTTTGAGATCTGATATATAGTCACTTTACATGTTTATTTAATGATTAGTCCCAGCGGGATTCACGCCAAGAAATGTATGGGACCAGACCAAATGGAATCAAATGTGAAATTCATGGTCCCGGCGGCCAGTCTAGATAGAACTGTAAAAACATATAGAGATTTATTTTTCAGTGTAAAAGCATCAGCTAACTAAGCAAGGAAAAAAATAAAAAACATCTCACTCTGCTTCATCAGCTCATATATTATTCTCAAGAATAGTTTGAGTGATCTGAAGAAGGCTTGTAATAGTTCTGAATTTAATCTTCAGAGCTGTATTCTCCTTGCACAGAGTCTTATTTTCAATATAAAGAGTTAAAATCTCAATATTACAATCATTAACTGACTTAATACTTGTTATCTGTTTTTTCAAGACTCTAGTCTCTGTATTCTCAGCTGCAGAGTGTTTCTTGAATGAACTCTTCTTCTTGACTTTCTTTCTCTTTTCATTCTTCTACTTCTTTTCTTTCACTTTATCATTCTTCTTGCTGATATTGACTATGTATAACTATTAATTAATTGTATTAAAATTGATATATTTTATGTTGAAAAGTGACTCACTTCTATGATAAGAGCAGTAACTTTCAGTGCTATTATAATGATAACTGATACAAGCTTTATGACACTGATTCAGAGTGCTGATACAGATGATAAAAGAGTCTTCTTCTCTAATACAGTGACTGCAGAGAACTGCAAAAACAGCACTGCAGAATTATAGAAGAAGAACTTTATAATTTGTATTAATTTTTATATTGATCTGACAACTCTTTCACAAGACTGGCTCACAAGTATAGAACAATTTGATGAGAGTCTGTAGCTTCTTTGACAGCTTCTCAGACATTCTTTCAGTCAAATGAGTCAACAGTTGACTTGATAATCTAGAACTGACAGATACAGCAGAGGCAGATGCAGGTGCAGATACAGAACTGAGAATGAGATTAACAGCTAATGACTTGACAGACTGAACAAGATTATTGAGAACTGTGCTGACTGTTAGAATTGTAATTTTCATCATTTTAAGAATCTTACTTATAATAAATGTGTTTTGAGATATTGTTTTCAGTCATAATAGCAGTATTGATGATTTTTTGAACTTCTGATGAATTAATAGAGATAAATGACATGATTTCTGAAAAAAAAAAAAAAAAACAGTTGACAGAGATGAAAGATGAGAGATAAGATGAATTCTTTAAAGAGAAAGAGAACACTCTGAGATTCATTTACTTTTTCTTATATATGTGTTGACAGCTGCAAGAATTTAATATCTCTTATCATATAATACAACACAGGCCTTAATAACACAGGTCTCAGAAGATTCTCAATCTCTCAGATTAAAGATATTATTATATTAAATCTGAACTGTATAGATTAATATCTGAATTGTTTTAATATCTTCTATAGATCACTAACTGCTCATTCTCAGATTCAGTGATTATAATAGAATCAGCTGTAATAGATTCATTAAATTCAATGATTGAATTCAGTGAATCTGCAAGCAGAACAGGCAGAGAGAATGATAGAATAGAGAATGAAGAACTTGCAGTAATAAAGAATGAGTGAATAAACAGATTAAATGTGAATTATGAAAAAGATGAAATAAAGAGCAGATGAAGCTATATAGAATATAGATTAGCAGAGATCTATAAAAAGAAAAGAGATATAACTTAGTTATCTGTTAACTTTGATATCTTGTATAATCAATCTTATGTATCTGTATGCTTCTGCTTACTTCATTATCAGGTCAGTGAAATCTGGAATAATCAAAGAGTTATTTAAATAGAAGACCTTGATATATTTTGACCTGTGAAACTGTAACATATGTGAGATCAGTCTGAAATTCAGTCTCAGAAATATCAAGAACAGTCTGATTAAGTGATAATTCTTGAAATTTATAAACAGTAATGATATATGCAACTGTAATAGAGAACTGCATGCAGCTGCAGACTTAATTAACATGAGAAAAGTCATAACAGCTGTGAAAGATAGACACAAGTTTAAGATTCTTTCATTCTAAATAAGCAGAGCTGTCATATTTGTCAAAATTGATTAGCAGTGTAAATGAAGAATCTTGATGAGAATTCTTCATATCTGAACTTCATACAATATTATGAAGAGTCTTAAGAGCACTGTTAACAAGACTGCAGTCTGTTCAAATATTCTGTAGAAGTATGATTCAGCAGCTGATAAAGAGAGAAAGATTCTGATGAAGATTATCAGTCTTATCAGAATCTAACTGAGAAGTGTCTATATTAACATTTATAGCCTGAATATTAATAACAGGTTGTTTACAGCTTTGAATAGTATTATTATTATAGACATGAACATGATACTTCTTTGTATAAATGTGAATTGCATTCTCAAAGACTGAGGCTTCATGAGAGATAAGAGTCTGCACACACTTTGAAAAGAACTCTCAATCATTCAGAGTTAACTGATCAAGATGAAGATTTTTCAAGATCTCATGAAACTGACAGCTGATGATATCTTCACTCACTTATCATTGAATCACAGTAAGTTGAATGATTTTACTAAAAGCTAAGTAGATTTAACAGCTCTGAATGTCTTCTTTATAATCAATATGTCTGTTATGATAGAGTGAAGTTTGAAAAACAGGTGAGAGCTGATAGAAATCTTCACTGAGAATGACACTGAGATCATTAAAATGAGTATTTTTATAAGAGAATATATAACAACAGATCTGATCAATTCATAAGAGTTACTGTAAATTAATCATTAACTTTTCATTAATTAACAGATAGTGAACATCCTTAAAAAGAGCCTGTAAAGATCAAAGATTTTGAGAATTGAGCAGTTTATATAGCATATTCTTGTATATGAGGAGCTGAAATAATGCATGCAAGATTTGAGTGTTAATGAAGTGAGCAGCTACATCAGTTGACACAGCTTAAATGATTGAGATTGAGAGATCTTGAGTCTCTGCAAGATTTTGAAGAGTTGTAGACAAAATTATAATCAGATAAGTTTTATCAGTGTCATCTTCATTATCTAGATTAATTAGTAAAGAATCTGAGAACTCACTGTTAAGAATCTCAGTATAATAATAGAGAATAGTATCATGAAGAAGATGTTGATCAGAATCTAGAGTCTTGAGTGAGTCATGTTTATAAAGAGTAGTGTCTGCAGGGAAGTTGATCTTCATATTATTTCAAAATTCTGTGTCAAGATTGATATAAGTATTAATATGAGAGCTTCAATCATAGTTGAAATCTAAGAACTGATGATCAAGCTGTTCACAGTTTCAGATGTCAATGAGGTCATCATTATCACACTGTGAGTTTTGACAGATAAGTAATACTTAAGAGAGATTAAGCTTCTCTTCATCATTCTGATTATCTTCAAACTCAGGTTCTGGTTTCAGCATGTCTTCACTATAGACATTAACTGAGTGATTATGAGAAAGACAGCAATAATTAAAGACCTCTGTAAAAGAGGGTCAAGAGATGAGAAGATCAATAATCTTGAGATCTTCAATTTGATAAAAAGAATAATGAAGAAGAAGTTTGATATGAGCATAGTTCTCTGAATCAGTTTTAAACTGATAAACAGAAAAGTAGATCAATACTCAGAGTTTTACATGAGAATATCTCTTAATTTAATAACTGTGAGAAAAGATTTGAAGAAATTCAAGAAATGAAAGATCTTCAAATTCAGTTGACTACTGCTTATATTTTTTTAAAAAGAATGAATCATATTATAATTTATCAGATTCAAGAATATAGCTATAGTGATGTTGAGATTCAGACTGACAATTAACTGTAATTAACTCATGAGAACTCATTTATAAAGAAAGATTTAAAAGAAGATGATAAATCTTCTGAGCAGATCAATCACACTCATTAATGAGCTGATTCATAAGTTTAATAACTGTAGAGAGCAGTGAGTGACTTAAACTGACTCTTGAAATCACTCATTGAATAATCTGATGATAGAATTCTGTGTCTGTTTCAGCCTTGACAATGTACTTAGATAGATAATTAAGAACAGCATAGCTGTCAGTGCAGAAAACAATGTCAGTATTTACTAGTCAGCTAACTGTAATCAATCTGTTGTAGTTATTGAGAATTGAGTCATTATAACAGAGATGCAGCTGATAATATCTACTACTTAAAGATTTGAGAATAGCACAGTCAGTCTGACATTTATATGAGAAGTGAAATCAGTAATATAGATTGTCAGTGACTCAGTGTTTACAAATGCAGTACTTTTCACTACAGTGATGACATTGAACATGATTGAGAACTGCAGATAAATGTTCAATGACATTCATCTGATCAGAATGACTGAGAAAAAGAGATGACTGTGCATCTTCAGACTGAGTGTGATTAGGCTCAGAATTCTCAGCTGTAATAATGAGGTCTCAGTAGTCAGTAAAGGCTTGATAAGAGTCTTCATTCATGTTAAGTTCAGAATTCAGTGCATTCTTACACTAAAATACACTATGTGAGTGCACTGATCTGTGATCTTGTCACTTATAACAAGTTCAGTGATCTAGGATTTTGAATTTCAGATCTAGAATCTTTTTCTTGAAGATTGTAAGTTATAGATAAAAGTAATGTGTGACTATAGCAGAATAGTCATGAATACTATCTCTTACAAACTTCAATCTCTCAAGATCAGTGTCATGCTTTCAAATAACATAGTCAGAGAAGTAATGTATTAGATCATCTCAGTGATGATCTGCAGCTGAGAGAGTAAGAAATAGATGCAGAGATTCAATATTTCAAACATAGACTTGTAGCTGACAACATTTTACACCTTAAAAAGAACAGATTTCATGAAGACTCTCTACAAACTGTGTAAATGAATTCAAAATCATGACAGATTGTAAAGTATTAGTAGTAAAAGCAGTCTGCAGCTTCTCTAGAGTGAGATTCTTAATAAGAGAGTCAGTTTAATTGTAGAAAAAGCAGTTCTGATTATTAATCTATCTACAGAATAGAGAATTGAAAAGAATATATTAAAAACAGCTATAGCAGGCAAAGTGACTGTCATGATATTTAAGAAGAAACTGTGTATAATCTGTAAGACTAATTATTCTTTGTCTAGAGAGAATGAATTCAGCTTCATCTTATGAGAAAAGTGTTGAAAAGACTTAAGAAAAGAGTGAGTGAGTGTTGTTAAACTCACTAAGTAATGTATTACAGACTGAAGATAGAGTGAGATGATTAATCTGTTCTCACTATGATATTTTAAGTTTATGATGAAGTTGCTCAACTTTGAACTGTGAGATCAAAAGATCTGAAACATCAGAGTATTCAGATAAGATATTCAAGTTATCAAGATTTAAATAATTCTCATTCTCAATAACTGTCAATTCTTGCTTATCAAGCTCATGAAAAGAAATCTGATCAGAGACATCTTCATTTTCAGATAACTGATTTTAAGTCTCTTTATCAATTACAATGTTCTGATAACTGAAATGATTTTTACAGAGATAGATTAGTCATTGAGCAACAGCTTCTTTATGAATCATGAAATCTCAGTGAAACTGATATTATAAGTAGAGATCTGTATTTGAATTTAAAGACTTCAATATAATAATATCAAGATTCTTAGAAAGAAGTGAAAGAGTGTTATAAACACAGTCAGTGTCTCTAAGAAAGCTAATAATATAATCTTTATACTTATACTAATATTCTCTGACTTGACAGATCTTAATAAAGATATGTATGTGTGAAATTAACATCTCTTTAACCTGACTGAGAACAGAGAGATCTGAATCAAGATCACTGAGATTAAGATTATTCTCTTAAGAGAATAAAAACAGCTTATCAGACAGTCATCTCAAATCAACAGTATAATAATAAGTATAAATATTATCTTGAAGATTCATTCTGAATCAGTAAATTTAATAATAGCTACAGATCTTCATCTGTAAATCTTCAAGTATATGATGAAATTTCTGCATATACTGTTAATTATCAGAATTAACAGCTGAATCTGTAAGATAAGTAGAACTCTGAGAGTTTATTAAAGAGTCTGAAACAATTACAGTCTATAACTGATTATATTTCTGAAGAATTGTGAGAGCTTCTATATTTAATGTGTCAATTGAGCTTTCAGATCATATAAAGTGTCAGAATATCAAGAAGCTGCTAACTCTTTTATTAAGTTAATTAATAAACAGATCTACAGAGCTCTGAGAAACAGAGCTTTAAGAAGTTGAGAGTAAGAAAAATGATATAAAAGATATCTGCAGTGAAAGCATGTCTGTAAAAATAAAATGAGATTGACTTGAGAATGAATTGAAGAATGATACAGATAATTGATGAAAGACTGAAGAGAGATCTGCAGAACTGAGAGATGAATTAATTATCAAAGATAATAACTGCAGCTATTTTCTCAATTGAGTTAAGAATAAAGTTAATAAGAGATGTTCTCTATAACATCTGACAATATGATGAGCTCTTTAAATGACAGTTTTCTTTTTACAGACTGCTGTTAACAAAGACATATCAGAACTATGAATTTCACAGTGATAAAACTTAATCTCAGATAATATATCTGTTTCAATAGACTGTTCACAGACTTAAGAAACTGCTGTTAATTGTATGAAGTATTGATGTATCTGAAGTGATAGAGAGAGTTCAGACTTATTTATCACAGAATCTATAACTGTAGAAGAATCTGATTTCACTGTATACATTTATTTACAGTTCTACACAGTGTAAAGAGGTAATCAGCAATAGAAAAGATGTAATGAGAGAAGATTACAATATCTGAGTTCTCTGAGTGCAGTATTAAAGACAGACAGCTGTAGAAGTAGTAGAATACTGTAAAGAAATGAATTAATTAAGAGACTGATTTCATAAGCAGTGAATGCAGACTTTTAATGTGTTATTCATTCTTGAGAATCTATGAAAGATGATTGATCAGATACATTATCTATTCAAGAATCTGTATAAAGTAGATAGTTAATAAGATGCATGATTAATTATTCAAGAATCTGTATTCAAGAATCTGTATGAAGTAGGTAGTTAATGAGATGTGTGATCTATTATTCAAGAATCTGTACAGAGTAGATGATATGATTGATGATATGATTGATGAGATGAAAGATGAACACATTGTGAGTGTGTAGAAGAAGTCATAGTACAATGTCACAGAATTGTGCTTCACTTAATTCTATATCAATCAGTGAGCTGTATTCACATCAAGAACCTTAAAAAGAAAATTCTTCACTTTTAATGATCAGGGTTTTCATCATATATTTACTTCACTTTGCTCCGCAAATTACAATCTATACATTCATTAATATACTTATTTCATGCACTGCTGCTCAGTGTGTGAAAATTCTCATTCTCTCAGTACATTTAAACAGTTTCAATTCATTTATTATCTCTTTATTTATTATAGAAAAACCTCATCAAAAATATTTAAATACTCTGACTTATACAGCTCAGATCAATCTTCAAATCTTCATTCTTTTTTTCATTCTGCTCTTTTCATACATTCTTTACAGTATTTACATTTCTTATACATTTCTCTATATTCACTTTTGATCTCTGTGTTCATAGCATGCACTGCTAAATTCTCTGTAACATGATCTCATATGATGTG